GAACTTGTAGCATTTTGCCACAGTTTAATTCTTTGTACCATTATTATTTTAGAATTATACATTTCCAACTAGGTACCTTACTTCCACTCGCATACATAGCTATTCTCGTTCAGTGCTGCCCTCTGTTTGCAAATTTTTTTCACATGCCACAAGCCTTTCACTCCCACGCACCCCTTGATTAATATGGTTTAACTGATTCTTGCATGCAAATTATCATGCAACAAACCTCCACCAATAGTAGTGCCACCCACCCACATGACACTCTATGGTATTCTACCTAACCATCACTTCTAATTTAGCAGTGCATGTGTTCAGATGTTTAGTTTGTGCTCTCTTCAAGGTTTTTTATTTTTGTGTCTTCATATCAATTTCTATCAACAAGTTTACTATTTATTATACAATAGTGATATTTGTAACTTATTCTGAAGTAGAATTATTTTATATTTCTACCCTGTTATGGAACTTGATATTTCCTTGACTGGGGAATTATTGGCTTTACTTCTTTGGGAGATTGATTGTCCAATGAGCTAACCTTTGTTGGGCCTCAACTCAAGTTTGGGAGCCCACACATTTTGAAGTCTGCTGACTTTGGAAAGATAAGATGTTATACTGTTATGGTTTTTGAATATTTTTACTGTTAATATTATTATCTATACTTATTTGGGTTCAGTAACATAACTTTAGTTAGATTGGTCAGTGCTTGTAGTCAAGTTCAGGATGAAATTAGAATTTAGTTGTATCCTTTGTCATATAATGTTAGATTAGGCTTAACATGGGTTTTTGTTATTTTAGGATTACCTGTAAATCATCTTACTGGTATATCGTGTATTAGGTTTAACTATATTTTTTTTCTTCAAAACATTACATCTCATACATATGTTTTTTTCAATATAAACTTACTTAATATTACAATATAATGTTTATTTCATTTTCATTATTATTTACCTTTTTTACTTCTTTATCTTAACTTTGTGGAACCCTGGAGTTGGGGTCCTCACAAACTTCTTCTCCTGATATTTTACGTATTATTGGTAGGTTAGGGTTTTTAAATTGAAGCTTAATGATATACTTTGTCCTGCACTATTCAATTAGGCTGGACAAATATCTGTTATTTTCAGTTTAACTATAGTTCATCTAATGGGTAAATCGATAGTTAGGTTAAATATCTTGTTTTCTACAACACACAACTTCTTATACATATGTTTATTTCACTAGACAATTACTTGAATTTATATTATGTTGACTATTTCATTTTTGTAATTCTTTATAATTTATACTTCGTACAATTAATTTAGTTTGTGGAAGTCGGGGCCCACCCTACCTTCTCCCAAAATTTCTCGCCTTTCTCCTACAACTGCTGTACCCATTTAGGATGACCTAGATTTTCTTAGTTTCCTCCACCTGATTATAGCATTCCTTCATAGGCCTCTACTGCAATATCTGCTAGGCCTACTTCAGCCTTTTTAGACATGTTTCACAGTACAATTTTTCCCCTCCTTCTCCAGACATTGTTTCATGATGAGCATTTTTGTCTGCCTTTGTGGGTTCTTTGCTTTTGGGATCTTCTGGGGTGGGACACTGTCTTGTACCTTTTGTTTACCATCTACTCCTAATAGGGACTTACAGTTGGCTCTTTTTCTCCACCAGTCCATTTTTTGGGGCTACTCCTGTGCACTTAGCATCATGTGGGGTATCTGTGATGCTATATTCTTTTTTCTTTTTTTTTAGTTGTTGCTCTCTTGTTTCATTCTGAGTCATTGCCATCTTTATTCATGTTGCATGTCTGTCACCTTCCCATCCTTTACATGTCCTACCTATGGGTTTCTCAGTGCTCATTGGAGTTCTGGATTGATCAGTCCTACCTCAATCACTCTTGCTTCTTTCCTGTTTTAATATGTAGTCTCTGTTCACAATCAGGTGGGCAATTTCTGCAGAACTGCAAATGCCCTCTGTACATATTCTTATTTTTGATTTCTTGAGACACTCTTAGGTTTACTCACCATGTGATTCAGTACCAGTTTTGTAGCCTTGCCCTTTGGGCTTGTTTTGGTTCCATATGTCTTTTGTCAGGTGGTCTGAATTTTACCTGACTCCTGCATTTTGGGGGATTATATTCACACCACTACTTGGATGTTTGACTTCAATTAGCTCCTTCTGAATGGGGGTGGTCAGAACATACTCATCTACTTCTCACACAAGCAACTCTGATGGTTGGATTTTCCAGTTGGACAAGTTTTTCCTGTTACCTACCTAACAATCTTGGCTATTTGGGGAGTGTCTTTCTTAACACCCACTTCTGTCTGGACCATCCATTCCCCTCCATGAATGCATTTGATGGAGCTTTCTGTTATCCATGCCATTATGGTTTACTGTCTTACTGCTAGTGAGGTTTAATGCATTTGGGGAATGTGGCTTCTATTGGAAGCACTTCTCCCTTTGGGTCTGGCACATTTGTGATCTTTTCAGGAGATGCTGCATGACCCATGGATTTGTTTCTCATCCCTGATGTTTATCTGAACAATTAGGGGGGGGGGGGTTGATCAGCAGGAGGCTTTAGAACAATGGTCTACAATGTGCTTTAGTTCACTTTCTTTTTCTTGCCCAGATTTGACTAAACATGTTTCATTCTGACTATTTGATGGTGGTGTCTTATATTACTTGCCAAGGGGGCACTTGTTCTTGTTCCCTTTGTGGTAGACAGTGGATTCCTGTTTTTGAACCCACACACTTGACATACGTATCCTGGTTTGTCATGT